ACCTCAAGGGGAAAAGGACCGCGTAGGGGGCCAAATAACTAAAATTAGCATGGGGCCATTGGAAAGCAGTGATAGGAAAGTCAAAGAGCCGCAGAGTCCAAGGCAAAAAGCACATAGTTTTGGTTTTAAAACACATTACCTTCTTTCTGAACCGGTAAACCGATTACTCAGCTGACTTTCCGAGTGGGACCGTTGGTATTGTGTCGGAACAATACCATGCTCGCGCTCTCTTTCTTCTCTCTTTTCCGGGCGCCGAGTGGACACAAATGCAAGGTATGGAATGGTAGGGTATCAAAAGAAATATTTGAGTCGGTGAGTTCGGACGTTTCCGCGGTCAAACGAAGCCCTTGAACGGAGGTGTAAATACAGTAAACAAATGATTTAATTTGTACTAAAATTAGAAAGTTTGAGTGTTGATGGAAAATCAGATCCCTCCCGTGCGCATTTTCCTCCCGTGCAAGCTGTCGAGTTTCTGTGCTCTTCGTGTGCCTGTGTGCGAGCTTAAATAGAGGCCAGCAGCAACAATTAAATGTATTTAGCGGGTGCTCCTCTTCTTCTGATTCGCTTTTGCAACCACTACGGCAATTGCAGCAACAACACATCGACATCGACAGCGACAGCGGCGACATTTGCAAACAGAGAGCGCACAGTGGGCCGAGAGCGGCTCGTAACGGTGCAAAGCGGTGTCTCTCCTTGCCCGTTCGTGACTGGTATGATTTGCGCCACTGTGCGATAAAAAAAATAACGAAACGAGCGCAACGGGCAACAACAAGCAAGAACAACTAAAATAAAAGGAAATCCTATAAATAACAGCAGAAATATTTATCAATGGCGGATAAGGTGCGGTAAAATAATTAAGGCGGTGAAATGAAAACATTTTAAACAGAAATTTGTGGGCCAGAACGACCTCCATTGGTGGATTGGTGAATTTTTGAAAAGTGCCCAGTTTTTCTAGTGCTCAGTGCCTACTGTCATCCTTCCCGTACTCCCCATTCCTATGGGCTTTTTCTCAATTTCATTTAAAATGTCTGGCTGCAATTAAATTTGCATAAATTAGACATTAAGCGCTTAATACGTGTGGATATATGAGTGTGTGGCGGTGCAACAATTTACAACTAATTTTGGAGAGTGACGAATGCCTTGGAAGCTCATTGGAACAGAGCGAAAAAATCACAACACTGCCATAATTAAACGAAACAAAAGGGGCATATCCGAGCTTATATCTATGTGTTACATCTGGCAGCTGTGCTCCCAACTGCTCTTTGGGGTTTAAGACTTCTGGCTTTCAGAACAACTCCATTTAATGACGACTCCAGGGTAATGGCTTTAAAGAATCCTAAAAATAAATAATATTTCTGGTGTTGAAATCTTCAAAATCTGCCAAGTTAGGTCAGCTCCCGAAGTAGAAGGCTTAGCATTAACAGACCAAGACGAGAAATGAGGCATCGCAAGAAAGAAAGATGGAAGGAGAGGCTGCAGAGACAGAAGGAAGCTTAGAGAAGATGGCAAAACTGGTTTAAAGCTCCGCTAGCTTTGAGCCTCCCCACACACACTCACACACGTAATACGTATGTGCAATGGAGGTACGCTGACGCTCACACACAGGGATGCTACGGCGTTTAAGTTCTATACTTTTACGCTTTTATTTTTATACTCGCCGGGCAGTCCGAAAATAATCGCATTATGATAAGAAAAAAGAGCACGAGCGTCTCTCCTCTCTCGTGCCTAGCCATACTTATGGATGTCGGTGTGTTTGTCGGTGTTTTCTATTTCTTTTTTTTTTTTTGCACGAATAAAAGAGGTAACTGAAATGTATAAAAGGAAAATGTATCGACGGATTTTTACCCTCGAAACTAGTTAAAGACTGCTGACAAGATGAGCGACTATTTAATGGGACTTCCAGGTATATACCTTTTCTGCGAGGGTATTTCTAAGGCTACGCGATGTCAAGAGCCAAGTTGGTCAGCACACAATATTTATATTTGCTTTCAAAGTTTGTTGCTGTTGCGCAGCATTTTTTTTTGCTTTTGGCTGTCATCAAACAAATAAAACTGGTTTTCAAGTCAATTAAACAAACAAAAAATGTCTATATGTAGAGGAGCATGGGAAATGCAAAAATAGGCATGGATGAACATTGAAATCAAGAGTTATGTTTTAAAGAGGGGTTTCGGTAAACTATCAGCAAAAGGGTATCGCTCCTAAGTAGTTGTTATTATTAATTTAAGTGTTTATCTCTTTAATGCGTCAAGGCTTTTGGAGGTTTTTCGTATTTTTAACCGAAATTCGTGTGAATCAATCGCATTATTACGGTTAACCTTTGACATAATTGCATTATTTCGCCTGTGTTTTCTTTTAATTGGGACTTTATTGAAGCCTAAAATGATTAGAAGAAGCTTAAGGTGAGGACTCACTAGTTTGATCCATAAATGCAGTCTAAAATAAAGCTATCTGATGGATATTTCATCTTTGCAGAACATCAGAGCACCTATTAGAACACCTTATTAAAACGCTATGAGAACCATTTACTTTCCATAAAATGAATAATCTAGAATAGACTGAGATAGGTCGCTTTTCAACTGCCAGAGAATTTGGCACAGTCAGCGGCCCAGACGTTCTGTCCTCGTTCGTTTCGACTGGCTGTAGTTTCAGCCTGGCCCGAAGTCCTTTGGTCTTTTGTCTCTTTTGTGTGCCTCCTCCAATGTGCATTACTAGCGAGGTTGCTAGCAGCACAGCCATTGTTTATAGCAGCCCTACTCGTAGTATTGTGCAACAGAAAAAGTAGAGAGAGATGCCCATGCCCCTTCCGAAAAGGGAGCATTGAAGTCCTGGCAGTTTACGAGGAAAATGTTGACGCTCTATGCATTTTTAAAGTCTTCATTTTACGTGTCTATTAATTTAGCTTTAAAGCTAAAAGCCCAGAAAAATTGTTAGACTTGTAGATTCAACCGGATTGCAAATCACAACCATAAAATTCCACATTAAACAGCAATTCATAGGCAGCCGTTCAAGGATCGCAATAAGTAGGTAACTCGATTCCATTCCCATGAACAAGGGCGCCCTCATAAACGTGCAATTAACTGTACATGGGGGAAAACAATGAACGGTGGGTGGGTGGGTGGCGCAATACATTCATTCACCCATGGGATGAGGTCGAAACAAAATTGTCTGCCGTAGTTTGGATTTGCGCCATTTGCATTTTATGTGGCGCTCACAAATAAGACAACAAATTTGCTGGAAAACATATAGACATCTGGCGAAGGGAAATTTCCTAAACAATAAGAGGTGTAACCTAAAATAAGGCTACCAATTTTTGTTGAATATTTACTAAAAACATAAAAACTGGTCAGCTCTTGGACACAGTTATTCTTTTAATTCACGAATATTAAGCTTGTCATGGAGCTGTAGGCCTGTTTTCTTAGTTTTTCTTATAGTACTCCCCCCCAAACGTTAAAACTCGAACCAAAGTTGTCTTGTTATATTGTCAAGTCAATGAGCTTTTTCATAGCTGGGCTGGGCAGGGCGGGGGGCGGCGAAGTTAGTTTGCTGTGTTTGCGAGAAAATAAAGTTGGTTGACTTTTGCCTCCCCGATTCCGGCCAAAGTGTATTAAGTCTGTGGTATATGAGTGGGCCAAATGGAGATGTCCTGGGCGTCGCGCCCGTATGGTATACACACAGGCACTGCCTACTACTTGCTGTTCCAGCAACTTTAAGCGGATTTTGCCATAAGTAGCTGAAAGTTATGTTAACGTTTCTGCGAGTGGGTGGCTGCAGGGTGGTGCTTGGAAAACCTATCAAAGTTTCTGGGACGAACGTCTCCGACTGCAAAAAGGTCGGGTCCTTTTAATTAAGCAAAAAATTGAATGTTTTAACCTTCGGCCACTTGAAGCTAACGACGCCTTGAATAAAATTGCGTTTAAATTAGTTTTTTAAAGCAATTTTAGTAAACTTTTCATTACCCTTTACATGTATTGGCTTTTCCATTAAAGATTAGTTCCTTTTTAAATCGCCAGGAAGCGACGAGAAGGAAAGCCAGGCAGTCGGATGGCGTGCCGGTAATGAGTCGCTCGCCTCAACCCGCCACCCACGCACGTCAGCCGCCTTGCGAGAGGTTGGCTTCCCGGGACGTACAAGGGCGTGCATTTAATATGTTTCGGTAGCTACATAAATGAGTAAAATTAATACCCCACCTATGGTAAAGTAAAGGGGAAAACGCCAGGCAGGATAGAGGTATTTGTTTGTCTTAGGGGGTCTACCGATAACTTTTAACTGGAGGCACTCAGTTTTCTATATTCATGCTGAAGTATAGGTTGATACCCAATATCAACACCATTAAATATAGAGGTTTAAAAAGTATGATGTTAGCAAGTGTAACTGTCCATTTGAGCAATTATTATCTTTGTCGGGTAGTAATATTGGATTAAAAATTCCTTAAGATTTATTAAAAATATACACAGTTTGGGAAATTAAGTTTACCATAACTATAGGGTGTCTCGTGGACATGGTGTAGCCTGTTGTTACCAAAAAATGACAGATTGTGAGTGAAACAGTGTTGTCTAACAAGTGTTATTAACCTTAGACGGTGACTAGGGTTTCATTTCGCCAATGTTCTCTATAACTACTCTCCATAGGTTTGTGTGGTATAATTTTAAACTTTCAATTTGAAAGTATTTGGGTTTCTGCTTTTGCACAGATACCTTAAGAAAAGATTGGTATCGGTTGTTATCTGCTGCAATATTTTTATTAAAATGTATATTATAGATACATTTTATATCAAAGTCAAGTAAACTTGCTTAGCTCTACTTTCAACTATACAGTTTCCTCCTGGTATAACCTTACTATAAAAATTGAAAATGTATTTTTTTGAAACACATTAAAGGGTTAAAACTTATGTAATAATTCGTATGTAAAAAAAAACGTCCGCTTTAGAACACTGAATGTAAACGGACCAACACTAGAACAGTATGGCAAAGACTAGTCCTATTTTCTAAGACTAGCTTGCTCTGATTTTCAAATCAGTTCATAAAATCCCCCGACATATGACATTGTAGGTTCGGTTCTATTTTTTCAAATTTTCTAAAATTCCCTACACACTAAGCCGGGCAGCTACAAATTTCCGACTCTACTGTTTCGCAACCAGAACTTGCTGATTGCGTTTGAAGAGTTCCAGACCAGGAGTGCAGGCAAACCCACTCGAAAATGGGCAACGTGATGGCGACAACGGGAGGCGGTGACTCCTCGCAGGGGCGGGGAAAGGTGGCCGCCGGCCTGGCCTTGCCGGAGGCCCCACTTACCGCCGCTATGCCGTCCCAGCTGGTGCAGGCGCTGGAGTCCGAGGCGCGGAAGCTGGAGAACCCGGGGACCGTCGATGAGCTCCACAGCCGCTGCCGCGACATCCAGGCCAACACCTTCGAGGGCGCCAAGATCATGCTGAACAAGGGCCTCAGCAACCACTTCCAGGTGACCCACACCATCAACATGAACTCCTCGGTACCCAGTGGCTACCGCTTCGGAGCCACCTACGTGGGCACCAAGCAGTACGGGCCCCACGAGGCCTTCCCGGTGCTGCTGGGAGAGATCGACCCGATGGGCAACCTCAATGCAAACGTGATCCACCAGCTGACCTCGCGGCTGCGCTGCAAGTTCGCCTCCCAGTTCCAGGACTCCAAGCTGGTCGCCACCCAGCTGAGCGCCGACTACCGGGGCAGCGACTTCACCCTCTCGCTGACCATGGGCAACCCGGGCTTCCTTACCGGATCGGGGGTGATCGTGGGCCAGTACCTGCAGGCCATCACCCAGCGGCTGGCCCTGGGCACGGAGCTGGCCTACCAGTACGGCCCGAATGTGCCCGGACGCCAGGTGGCCGTGCTGTCGGGTGTGGGGCGCTACGCCTTCGGGGACTCTGTGTGGTCCTGCACCCTTGGGCCCGGCGGCTTCCACCTGAGCTACTACCAGAAGGCCAGCGATCAGCTGCAGATCGGTGTCGAGGTGGAGACCAACCTGCGCATGCAGGAGTCCACGGCCACGGTGGCCTACCAGGTGGACCTGCCCAAGGCGGACCTCGTCTTCCGCGGCAGTCTCGATTCCAACTGGCACATCTCCGGTGTCCTCGAGAAGCGCCTGCAGCCCCTCCCCTTCTCCCTGGCCATCAGCGGGCGGATGAATCATCAGAAGAACAGCTTCCGGCTGGGCTGTGGCCTGATGATTGGATGAATGCCCTTTGGAGAGTCTTTCCTCCACCAAAGCTCTTGTTTAGTTTAAGTTTTATTCCGAAAATTTAAATGTGTAGCCACATGTGGGGGAAGCGGAACAAGTTCCAGTGCGATTTTATCAAATTCACAATCGATATCGATGGATGATCGAGAAACGAACTAATTGCATTCATGTTTTTCTTTGTAATGTGTAGCACTGCCTCGAGTAATCGAATATATTTTCCCAAAATCCAAAGCAGTCTTATTCGCTAGGGGAGGAGAGACAGATATTCTTGTTTCATTAAATTGTGTAACTTTGCCTTGCTAATTGAAGTCTTAAGGGGTTATATACAGTTGTGATATATGAAAAAATCGATTTTTTTTTATTGCATATTCTTTAAGTACATTTTATTGGAAATACTCTCACAAAAATTCATAACCATCGGAGCATTAGAACTGAAGCTGTAGCTATTTAAAGCGCACTATCTGCATATAAAACTTGAACAACCTTGAAACTTTAAACGCGATTATCTCAGAATCTTTTTTTTGGGAAATTACCTTTGCGGTGGACACGATTACTAAAAAACTACTAATCCGATCAACACCAAATTTTGACCACTTATTTATTATGATATTAGCTAGTCCGTGAACGAGGGATTTTCAATTTTTTTGAAAACTCCTTTTTTAAAGCACAAAAAACGAAAATCTTATACGTTGAAAAAGTACATTTTTTGTTAAAAACGTCGCCATTTTTTTTTTAATCAAAATTGTTAAAAATTCCTCGTTCACGGACTAGACAATACAATGTACTAACTAAACTTTTTTGAATTTTGGATTTCGGATGAACCGTTTTCGAGAAATCTTGTCCACCGCAAGACACCATCGAAAAAAGACGATCCGGGGATTCGGCTATAACAGTTTTGTTATGTAATATTTTTTTATGAAAAAATTTAATTAAGTACCCAGAAACATGTACTAAACAACGTCGGTAAAACATTTTTCATAAATATTTTCTATGGTGTCAAAAAAAAATCGATAAAAATCCATATTTTTGCGCGGTACAACTGTATATAACCCCTTAAACGAGCTAAATCTGGACTGTTTTAAAGTTAAAATCTGCAGTAAAGTAATTGCATTTGTTTATAAAATAATCGATAAAACATTCTAAATGTTTTAGAAATATTTTTTTGTTTAAGTTGTAGGTTTTCATTTTTTATTTCAAACCATATTTTACTATCCGTTCATTTGAATAACTGATTTTTCGAGTATAGAACTATGATATAAAAATGATCTCAAATTACATTTTTTTTAGAAAAGAGCCAAAAAAGATAGAATTTTTATTGGTAATATGGTATATTTTATATTAAACAACCTCTTCCCAAAAAATCTTTCGAGACATTTTTCTGCTGTCTATAGAATAAGGCTTTTCTGTTTTTATAAAAATGTTTTTATTAATAAAAAACTTTTATGTTTATCATTTCATTATCTGAAAAATATGTAAAAGGATTTTCTTTGTTGAATTAGAACCATTAAAGTTCAATAAGCTATATTAAAAGAAATGGCGAAACACAATGCTCATAGGTAATAAACTGTGTTTGCCCAGAAAACGCCATTTGGGTATTCACTATTTTCCCGGAATAAGCTTCCCAAAATAAGGATATTCTGAGCGTATCAGCCAAAGGGTTAATTAAGTTCACCCCCATTTTTATTGAATGGTTAAAGGTCTTTGGAAAAACGGCAGTAGTTTCGTTTATTTTAGTTTTAAACTAAAGTGTCATTGCATAGAACTCCCAAAGAATTTGGCAGGACATACCTGGGTGGCTAAACTCCCCCACTTCCCGTTAAAACCTAGTTGGTTTCAGTGCGGAATGTGTATGGGAATGTTCATGGGAATTTTAATTAAATGGAATCAGCCCGGTAATTAGTTCGAGATTGCTCAGCTATGACTGTTGCCTTTGATTAGCACTTGAAGTAGTTGGCCCGCCTTCCTACAGATCTATTCAAGCTGAATGATTTGAATTAATTTACATTTTCCGTTAATGAAATAGTTCCAGAGGAGAAAGATATTTAGAGGCCTGAAAATAGACTTAATTAATTTTTGAAGAGTTAGTCATATAATATTTATACTTAATGATAATAAAAATACAATATTTCTATATTTTTATGGATTATTATATGAAGACGTCTATCTGTTGGGGTTTTTCTTTCGAAGCTAGTTTTTAATAGGAAATTAGACAACATGAATCTAAACATTTCTTCCTTCAGTGTAGAACTGTAAACTGAACTTCCAAACTAATTTCAAATATAAATGCTGTGGGTTCTGTAGGTTGACAGCAATAAAGTGCCCAACTGCCTAATTCCCTGATTGTCTCTGCCACAGTGTAGTCCTCCGGCAGATAGTTTTTCAGGCAACTTGAGAGTTAAGGGTATGCATTCTCCAGCCAGAACCTGAAACTGTCCGACTAGGTAGGTGGCTGTCCTGCTCGCTTTTATTAATTTGCCATTGTAATTTTATTCGCCGCCTGGCTGCCTCCTCCGCCCAGAATTGTGTATAAATCAGCGTCCAGTGGGTCGGTCATAATCAGTCAATGTACCGTGCAAAATTATTCAGTGCTGGCCTCTCCGTGCTCCCCCTGGCTGGCCGGGGCTTCTAAATATTCCTCTCGGCAGTGCATTTAATTTATTTTTATTGCTGTGACAAGCGACTCAGCGCTTTTCTTTATTCCCTTTCATTTTTTACATAATTGATGAGTGTTTTGAATAAAGCCAAGTCCGAAGATCTCGCCCTCCGGAAGTGCCCAAGATAACAATTATCAGCAATCGACCAAGCTAACGCTAGTTGTTGTCATTACTTTCCTCAAGTCACTTTGAACTTTTGAAGATCTTCAAGCATCGACTGCGTTTGTCGTGGCCCACGTCCAGGCCAGACAAGACCGGAGAAAACAAGTCGGAGTTGGAAGCACACCACCAACGAAGCAGAGAAAACTTTTGTAGTCAACCCGACCGAAAACAAGCGACAGAACTGACAAAGTGCAGTCGGAAAAACATAATAGTTTCGGAAAAGTTTCCTCCCACTGCAATTGGTCCCTCCCACTGCACTGCACTGCCCTCTGTCTTGTTATTACTTTTAGTTTTCCCCTAATTCGATTCCGTTATGAGGGAACGGTTGTGGGCCGATGTGCGAATTTGCGGAAAATGGAGGGCGCAGTGAACGGGAAAGGGTTGCATCACCGTCCACTTATTAATGCACCTGCTCCCACGGACAGGTGCCTTTGACAGTCGTGCAGATGAAGCGCCTGCTTCTGAGAATTATGCTGGCACCTCCGGGTGGCAAGCCCGGAATCGATATCCGATGTGCCCGGGCAGAGTGGATAAGCACTGAGTGGTGCTGACACGTTGACAGCCGAGCAGGAATGTAAGGGAAGCCGGATACAGCAGGGATGTCTCGAAAAATCCGACGCCTTGCCGGCATCCTGGAGGGCTGTGAGGGATATTAGTTTTTGTTTCTATTGGAGACAGGGTTGGGGTCTGCAAAGGCAAAAAGTAAACAAGATACTCGCCCGATTCTGTGTGAGTCTCCACTGGAACCTGGAGTGTTATCAACGCCGTGCCTAATGACGACACACATTACATATGCGGGAGGAGAATGGCATCTGCGCGCCTCCCAGTGCCCCTGCCTGGGGCGACAAATGTGGTACTATTTGTTTTCACTCTTGTTCCACCCACGCAGCTGTGCACGGAGAGAAAATACCCATATGTTTTCAAGAATTAACCGAGTTTTCTGAACTCGTATACACTCTAGCATTCATAGCCTTGGAAAAACAACAATATTTTAGTGCCTTTCGTTTTGTTTGTGAAGGGGGGAGTATGTTCTGTGGGGAGACTTGATCCCTCAAGACCCGACCTGCCATTCAAAACACCTGTGCCAGTGCCGCTTCTGACAAAATCTATGGCCAAGCCAAAATTAAGAACTTTCTTTCGCAAAACAAATCCTCGCAAATGAACTAATTTTATTTACACGCAAATTACATTTTCAAACAACTAAAACATTCGTGACAACAACTTTTCTCCATTAAAATGTTTACGGACTTGAGAAAATTGACAAATTCCGGCAAGGACGAGAAGCCACTCAGGACACAAAAAATAAATAAATTGAATAGAAAAGAGACCTCCCCACCAGTCCGCCTCACCTTCGAGACTCCTTCAATTGTTTCTCTTTGTCGCACAATGTCCCAGTTTTCCGACAATCCTCCCCAGGGACGGCGGGTCTTGGCTTCGGAGGGGCAACCTTTTGGCACGGCAACAACGCGCCGCATATTTAAATTTTAATTAAAATTTTCTACGGCCCGCCTGCCTGCCTGCTCCGGTCTTCTCGCGCTTCTGGAACGCCACGCGTTGTGTTCTCATTTCGCATTCGCGCGCCTAAAAATATGCAAATAAAAATTGCCTCCGTGCGCCCAAAGGAGGCAGATGCGGAGGCCGAACAGGCGGGCATTTCGTCCTCTATACTCCTCGATAGCGGTGGTGGCGGTTTCGTCGCGACCTTAGGGGCAGTGGGTCGCTGCTGGTCGGGTGGCGGGCATTCTTCGAGAAACGCGGTGATAGGTATCGTTTCGAATAACAAAGAACAACTAATCAAGGCACAAAAGGGGTGTCTGGCTATAGACACCCGGTACTAGAGGTCTAAGATCTGATTATTAAACTATATAATTCCTAACTCATGGACATTTTAAACGAATTCTAGTCAGTGCCCTAAATGGGGAAAAGTTCATACTTTGATTTGAAAGACATTCTAGTTATGGCGGAGCATGGTCTGCTTTTCCGATTGTCACCACAGCCCGGATCCGTTACAGCGACAACCTTTCTCGCTGAACCGAAAAAATCCGACAGCAGCCAACCCAACCCCCCAAGCAATTTCACTCCAAGCTTGTCAGATAATTGAAGTGCAGCTTGCGCTGGCTCTCGGTCTTCAGCAGCGACTACTCTTTTCTTCTCTCCAGACCTCTAGTATTTCCACAAGTCCTTTTCAACTGCAACTCTGGTTTGCAACTTGTTTCATGGATGCAGTATGAGGTTCTACACTCTTTTCGAACTGAAAAATGAAATGAAACTATCTGTATCTTACGAGGAAGAGTATTCTAAACTTCGGACCAGAGGAGAAGCGTTCTTTGTGGGTTGTTTTGCCCACGGAAATCTGTTTTCGACGGGCGGAATTTTGTGGTTAACTTTGTATGTCGGTGGCGACGGCTCTGTGCCTGTGCCTGGCCCAGTTGTTTTTTTGCAATTCACGAAACCGCCAAAACGAACGAGGTGGCTGGGGCGGGGAGTGGGTCTGGGAAGGAGAGCCTCGAGAGAAACCTCTCAATTCGAGCCACAATTTGCCATGTAAATATTAATGCCGAGCTAGACACGGAACCAGGGGCCCGGGCCGGGTCGGGGAGGAGTACAACTTGGTCTGTGCTCAATTTTTCAAAGCTCGTTTGTCGTTAGTTTGTTGGTTGGGTTTTCGGTTGGAGCTGGGGCCTGGGCTTGGGTTTGGGCTTCGGTTTGGGGCGCTTTGACTCGCCGAGTCTGAGTTCTCTGGTCCTTTTCGGGAAAAAGCAAATAATGAATGCAAAATGTTGCCAAGTGCTGAAAAATCACAAACAAGCTCCGAGAACCTTTTAAACTATATGCTGCGAATCTATTTTAATGAGCTCTTCCCTTCTCTCTTTTCTTCCCTACAGATTCCGACCAGAAAGTTAACAACATTGGCTGTCGTCCTTTGCCTCAAAATGGATAATTTAAACAACATATTCAACAGTGAAAGTGAAAACGGTTAAAGCTAAACAGGATATGAATTTTAAAATGAAATATTGACGATTTACTAAGCCAAAACTTTGCAAAAGTGAACTATTCTTGCGGGTGTTTCAAAGTGAAAAGTAAAGCAAAAGTTGACCAACAAAAATATCAAATTTGGGAAATACTGTAAACAAACAAGTACTTGATTCGCGTCGCCTCCTAGCAACCATGGATAAGCGGCTCAGCGACCGTCCCGGAGACTGTCGCGTCACCAGGTCCAGCGTGACCTCCGCCCTGCGCTTGGAGCGCAGTCCCAAGCAGCACGCCGAGCAGGAAACCCCTCCCAAGCCAGTGCTAGACACTGCTTCTGCCGCCACAGCAAAGTCCAAGTCCCCCACGCCGGTCACCGGAAAATCCCAGGCGGCGCAGCACCACCAGTTCCGCGCCCCGCAGCAGCAGCAGGGACCCAAGAACAGGAACAAGGCCTGGGGCAAGCGCCAGAACAAGGCCGCGGGCAAGCACAACACCGGCGGCACCAGCTCGCAGGCCCAACCGGCTGGGTCCACTGCCCAAGGCACGCCCCTGCTGCCCGCTTCGACGGCAGCCGCCCACAAGGCCGACCTCGAGAATATCCAGAACATCCAGAACAAGAACCAAACGGCGGCCGGCGGTGGCAACCACCATGGCAGCTCGGGATCGACCCACCACGGCGGCGGTGGCGGCGCCCATCATGGCGGAGCTGGTGGCGGCGGCGGAGGACATCATCACCACCACAATACACGGTTGGCACAGAACTCTGCGGCCGGTGGAGCTGGCGGAGGAGGTGCCATGCTCTACAAGAAGATGCTGTCCCACAGGTAACAATTTTAGTCCCTTAAATTCGGTAATATAAAAACATAAAGAAAGATACAATGTAATGAGTGGATGCAGTGTAATATTGTACACTGATACAGTTTACAGTGTAACAACTAATGTAATGAGTGGCATGTAGTACCGCGTATTTTCTACATTTTCTATACAAGTTTCTACAGCTATTCTTAATGGAAGTTATAATATATATATACATATGTATATATAATCTCTTACATCCTAATAAAAAAAATTAATTACAATAAAAAATCTAAAAAAAAGTCCCAAGCTTCTATCTTCAAAAATACGAAAGTTGATATTTCTACCAAATACCATTTCCGACCGTTCAGTTATATGGCAGCTATATAGATATAGTCGGCCGATCCTTTTGAAATTTGGCATGTCGTAATGGTTTGCCAAAAATAGCTCTCGTGTCAAATTTAAACTCTCTAACTCTAAAAACACCAAAGTTATACCATTTCCGATCAATCAGTTATATGGCAGCTATAGGATATAGTCGGCCGATCCGGACCGTTCCAACTTATATACTGCGTGCAAAGGAAAGAAGGGTGTGTGCAAAGTTTCAAGTCGATAGCTTCAAAACTGAGAGACTAGTTTGCGTAGAAACAGACAGACGGACAGACGGTCAGACGGACAGACGGACATGCTCATATCAACTCAGGAGGTGATCCTGATCAAGAATATATATACTTTATAGGGTTGGAGATGTCTCCTTTACTGCGTTGCACACTTTTGGACAAACTTATAATACCCTCTGCAAGGGTATAAACATAAAGAAAGATACAGTGGAGAAACTAAAGTAATGAGTGGCATGTAGTACAGGGTATTTTCTACATTTTAGTATAAAGTTATACGGTGTAGTATAAAGTTATAATAAATATATATTAATATAATATATATTATAGTTATAGTATAAATATATATTTATAAATTCTATATAATAGGGAAAAGGAATCGCTTCTTACCCCAGAAAACATTTGTTTTTTTAATCAGCGCCTCTAGAAGCACCGCATGAACTTTATTTTAAATAAAGCCTTTTCCGACACAAGAGTACTTCTTTTTTTATACTCTTGCCCTCTATACTCTGTTTTTGCTTTGACTTCCTTGCCGAGGGTATTAAAATTATAATGAAGATCAACATCACCTCCTGAGCCGATATAAGCAAATCCGTCTGCCTGTCCGAATAAATACGTTATTCTTGAGCCTATAGGAGTACCTTTGGCTGCGAAAAGGGCATCTATTTTTTTTACTCTTGACCCACCATTTTCGTTATATCCTTGCAGGAGGTGTAAAAGCAGTAAAGCATATAACTCTATATAACCCGACTCTATAAAATAGTATATCTGTAATAACATAACGAGCCAAAGTCCTATATTACACAACACACGAGCAGCGAATATACCGCGACTCTGCTGTAAAATTTCGCAGATAAGGGTCGATGTGTATTCTTGATTAGATCACATCCTGAGTCGATATTAGAATATTTATCTATTTTTCTTCCTTTTTGTTAAAAAAAACAGTGTCTCATAACTGAACAGTCGAATGTCAAATCTATGGTTATTTTAGTAATTTTTTGTTACATTAAAAGAAAGTGTAAAACTTGATGATCCAATAGATTCTGGGTTTATGTATAGTTCTTAGGACGATTGTGGAATGTTTTATTTGAAATTAAGCATAAAATCCAGTTCCATGCCAGACGTTGATAAGAGCCATTATCACCATTCAGACGGACACACTCTACCAAGAAGTCAATCATTTTACTGAACGAGTTCAAGATTTTATAATTTTAGTTTTACATTTCCGTGAGACCTTTACCCTTTACGAGTCCCCTTATCTTCTTTCCAGGAGTCACCACCACCACGTGCTCTGCGCGGGCAACAATGCGAACCACACATGCTGCTTGGTCACAGGATGCAACGGCAGCTCCGCCGGCGGAGTGGGCGTGTCCGGGGGCGGCGTAGCCGGAGGTGTGGGAACTGGCGGAGGTGCATCCTGCAAGGACGCCGTGAGCGCCAAGGACACCAGCTCGCTGAGCGGCAGCAGCAGTATCGCCGGCAGCGCCGCGGCGGCGGCGGCAGCCAACGCAGTGCACTACTGCTGCGGAAGGTCGAAGTTTTTCCTGCCGGAGAAACGGCTGCGCAAGGAGGTGATCGTGCCGCCCACCAAGTTCCTCCTGGGCGGCAACATCTCCGACCCGCTGAACCTCAACTCGCTGCAGCACGAGAACACGTCGAACGCCTCCAGCAGCAACAACACGCCGGCCACCACGCCCCGGCAGTCGCCCATCACCACGCCCCCCAAGGTGGAGGTGATCATCCCGCCCAACATCCACGACCCGCTGCACCTTCTGGACCCGGTCGACTCCATGGAGTACGAGAAGCAACTGACCTCGCCGATGAAGCGCGGCGGGGGGATGGCGAAGCTGCCCCAGCAGCTCCAGCTGCCGCTGCACCACCGACAGCACCACCACCGCGCTCGCAAGAACCGCAAGCGAAGGCGATTCGACTCCAACAACACCTCGCACGCGGGCGACGAGGCCGGAGTGGGCGGCGGTGGGGAGTACCCCGAGGAAACGCTGCCCGCCACAACGAGCACGTCCTCGCTGGCGGCGTCGCCGGTGGCTGCCCTTTCGCACGGCGGCAGCGGCGCTAGCGGCGGCAGTCTGCTCCTCAGCGAAGCCGCTGCTCCGGCTGCCGGCGAGACGGCGGAATCGGGCCGGCAGCAGGCGCATGTGCGCTCTCCGCAGGCAGCGACCACGACTACAGCAGAGATGCCAACGTCAACAACAACGCCGACGCCGGCAGAAGTGGTGAAGGATATGGACTCCGTTGAGACGGTCGAGAAGCCAGCTGCTACGTCGTCGCCGCAGCACCCGCAACATGTGGCTCCAGAGTCGAAGGACACGGGCTCCACAGCGGCAGAGCCGCCTACCGAGCTGCTGCTGAGCTACTCGACGCCGTCGGCGACGCTGGCAGTGGCATCGACGCTAGCCGAGCGCCGGGCGCAGGCAAGTCGTGATTTGCGCCTGGACTTGTCCAGCACGTGCTACGGAGTCGGCGGCACGGGGCTGAGCTTCGCCAGCAGCACCGTCGCCAGCGTCGGCAGCGCAGGAGGTGGGAACAGAAAGAGAAAAATCAGTGAGAGCAACAATTCGCAAAAGAGCAAGGTGAGTAATCCAGAGAGAGGCGGGAGTATTGGGGCTAGATGGGGAGTGGGGAGCACATGCCGTTTCCTTGTTGTGGTTATTGTTGTTGTGCAGGCAGCAAGTCAATTTCTGGTTTTGTTTTGATTGCTTTTGGCAGTTTTCCTTTTTCCGTTTTCCGATTTTAGTGTTTTCTGTTGCCAATTTGTTGTTGCACTTGGGCCGCCCGATTGGATTGAACTTGGGGCATGTCGTGCTCGCGGAAATTTCCGCCAAATGGACGACTCGTGGAAGCCACTTAAAAGTAATCCCAATAAGCGCTTAAATTTTACTTAAAATCAATTTTAAAATAATTTCATGCCCTTGCTGACAAGAAGACCATCAGGTGCCAACGCTTGTCACTTGATTCTTCAATCAAACGTTTTCCAAAGAAATTAGTGGCCTTATTTCGGGTTTCCCTTAGGGAGAAGGACATACCTGGATACTATATCGATAGGATATATCTATAGATAACAGTCTAAGCAACTGTATGGTCTCCAGAGACTGTACCAACTCTGAAAAGACTCAAATACTAATACAAGTTTCTCTTAGAAATTTCATCGCCACGATGCTATGGACAAAATCGTCAGCCCAGTGGTTCCGCAACCAGGAGCTTGGAAACGGCCGCCGCGGATCCTGCAACCGAGTGGAGCCAGGAAGCCCAACACACGGCGCTCAACCTCGTTCAGCGAGACGGAGCTCCTCAGCCCCGTGGAGGAACTACCGCCCAAGCCGTTGCCTCTCATCGAAGGTGAGTGATTCCTCCTCGAGTTACACACATTTTTATAGCAGATCGGTTTCTTTCAGTTGAAATACCCCGTGATGATACGCCAGACTTGCCGGAGCAAAGTGTGGGAAGTCCCATGAGCACAACCTCGGCTGCCACCTCGCACACGGCCGGCGAACAGGATTCGCTGGCCGGGGCGGAGACTACCACGGCGGCCGATGTCTCAGCGGGAGAATCTGCCCAAAAGCCTGCGGCCAGCAGCAGCTTGATGCTGAAGCCAGTTCTGATTCCCCCACTCAACCATCTGCCCAAGTTCCGAGCCGATGGCCTGAAGTACCGATATGGCAACTTTGACCGCTACGTAGACTTCCGTCAGATGAACGAGTTCCGGGATGTCAGGCTGCAGGTCTTCCAGAGGCACGTGGAGCTGTTCCAGAACAAGGACATCCTGGATATTGGCTGCAACGTCGGGCACATGACCATTACGGTGGCAAGACACCTGGCGCCGAAAACGATAATGGGAATAGACATCGATCGGGAGCTGGTAGCGCGGGCCAGACGGAATCTCTCGATCTTTGTGCGAATTCCCATAGAAGAGAAACCACCTGAGGTGAAGGTGGAAGCATCAACGCAAGAAAAGCCAGATGAAGGCGCCGCGTCGAAAGCAGCCCACAAGAAAACCCGACGCGGAAAGAAGCGACGAACAGCACAGCAGCCCCTCCACCCACATCCACATCCGCATCATCCCCATCACCATCATCACAGCCATCACCACCACCAGCAGCATGTGGAGCAGTTGCAGCAGCAGGAGAGGCTGGACGCCCTGCTTGTCAAGCCACACGAATTTTTCCCGATCTCCTTCCCACTGACCTACGGTGGGATTCCGCACTTGCCTTCCTCGGGAAAGTCGCCCAACACAGCCAGCAAGAATCAGTTCCCGGCGAATGTCTTCTTCAGACACACCAACTATGTGCTCAAGGACGAGTCATTGATGGCCAATGACTCGCAACAGTATGATCTCATTCTGTGTCTGTCGGTGACCAAGTGGATTCACCTCAATTTCGGAGATGCTGGCTTGAAGACGGCTTTCAAGCGAATGTTTAATCAGCTGCGTCCCGGGGGAAAGCTGATACTGGAGGCACAGAACTGGGCCAGTTATAAGAAAAAGAAGAACCTCACGGTGAGTGACAGTCATCACCTAATCCCATTCGTAATTTAAACATTTTTCACCTTCCACAGCCCGAGATCTACAACAACTACAAGCAGATCGAGTTCTTTCCCAACAAGTTCCACGAGTACTTGTTGAGCTCGGAGGTGGGATTCAGCCACAGCTACACGCTCGGGGTGCCCAGGCACATGAACAAGGGCTTCTGCCGTCCCATCCAGGTAAGCGAAAATTTTAATATTTCCTCCACATGGCGTGCTCATCCGTTTCTATTTTTCCGACATAGCTCTACGCCAAAGGGGACTATACGCCAAACCACGTGCGATGGAGCGATGCCTACTATCCGCAGACTCCATATGAGGCGTACCGCGGAATCTACGCCACCCATCCCGCCAACCGGATGGGCGGCGGCGGTAGCAGCGTCGGGGGCAGCCACAGCGGACATGCCCAGCTGCTGCATATGAGCAGCTCCAGCCGGTCACAGAACTACGACACACCCCACTACGCCGGCAGCGCATCGGGATCGGCCAGCTGCCGCCAAACACCAATGTACCAGCCCACCTACAACCCGCTGGAGACGGACTCGTACCAGCCCAGCTACGACATGGAGTATCTAAACCACATGTATGTCTTTGCTTCGCCGCTCTACCAGACTGTGTGGTCGCCGCCGGCCTCCCTGCGAAAGAGCAGTTCACACACTCCGGTTTTCGGAAGTGTTCGGGACGCGGAGCTGGACGGCGATGGTAGCATCGGGGGCGGAGGCAGTGGTGGGGGCAGCTACCACCGGCATGTTTACCCGCCCAACGACGACACCTGCTCGCCGAACGCGAATGCGTGCAACGCTTTCAACTCGATTCGCGACGCGGACACCGACGATTCCAACCAGCTCCCAGGAGGCAGCAAGCGGCACGTGTACGCCACCAACTGCGGGGAGAGCTCGTCGTCGCCGCAAGTGAACCACCACGAGGCCGCCGGCGAGTTTGTGGACGCTCTGATGGACGACGAGCAGAAGTCCTCGACTGGCGGTGGGTCGGGCGGTGCCTACTGTGATCTACCAGATGCCTAGAAGGAACGTGCGGTAGAGATTAAAACAAAAAATGTGTCAAAATGAAGAACAGAAAAAGAAAACTGAAAAATCCATAAAAAAAAGGAAAAACTTAGAAAGATGCAAGGTTTGCGAATAGAAAAAAAATGAAATGTAACTGTAAACGAGGCGCTTATGATTTTCTATAGTATAATGTGCGTATATATTTTTATATATTGTAGTTTAATGGAATAATCATATATACAAGTATATAGTAGAGATAAATATATATGCAATATGAACAGAAGTACGTGTATTGTAACCTTTACATATGTAGCCTAGGCTAAGCCCTTTTGCTAGAACGCTTTGTGGCGAGTGTTTGATTTGTCACTGTCGGCAGTTAATCGTAACCCTAGTTTAACACCCACTGTAAGCAATACATGCCACACACCACACGAACACACACGGTACACACACGCACACCCACCAACACACAACTCACTCATGCAACAAGAGCGGTAGCTTTAATGAATTAATTAAATAGTGCTATAGAAATATTTAGGAGACATGAACGGATTCCCATGGAAATTCAAATATTTTTGATTAACCTTTTGGCAAGCGAATAAGATTAAAAATAAGCACTGCGAGCGAGTGTGAGAACAAAATTAAATCAAGTTTATGACAGAGCAAGGATGATTAATACGTTGTAGGTTTATTTAAGTTTGCTAAACAAAATTTGTTTCAGTTTGAAGAGTAGGGTGCGAAATATATGAGTAGTAGGCTTATCCTTCGGTCATTAGCGAAAGCGATTTATCTCCTCCCTACCCACCTTTGAGAGGCAAGCCGGAGGCGCGTGTTTATCTCCAATATGTTTTTGAAACATTTGTATGGAATATTTAATTTTTTCTGAGAAAATGAAAAGTAATATAGAAAATTAAAAGATATACCTATTGCTAATAAAGAAAATTAATACAACAAAAATATACTAATTGTGTTTTAATGGTCTAAAATGAAGGTAAAATCTAATGATATAAAAGCTAAATTACCAAAAAGTTTTGGTAGTTGTAGATTTTCTACTTTTTGATGGTAAATCTGTTTCCCGGCACGAAATCTTACCGAAACCCAATTAAGGATGTAGTCTCATGTGCCGGCCTACTTTTTAGAGGTTATTTCAAAAAATTTTTTTTGTAATAAAAAATAATGCGATCGTTTCAATTTTCAAATATGTTTTTATAAGCATCATAAACTATTTGAAAATATTTTGTTTAATTTATTCTTGTGTAGTTTAATACACTTTATAGCATGCCAAAGTATGCATATAAAAAAAAAAGATAGGTCCCTGGCGCAGGTGATTTCGACTGCTAGAGTCATCCGAAACAAAAAATTAGAATAGATTATTGTTTTGTAAGCTAATGGCTCTGTCCCGTACTAGAATGAAATATTTTCATCAATAAACAACAAAATGGCGAACTCACAAAACAAAAAATTAAAAAAATTAAAAAAATTTATCTTAAATTAATGATAAAAAAAAAACTAATCATTAAAAATAAATGATTCTAGTACGGGACAGAGGTGTTACTTTTTAGAACAACATATCCAAATTTCAGCTAGATCGGTACCATAGAATTTTGTGAATCACCTGCGCCGCACACAAAAATGTCGTTTCGAGAAAAACGCGTTTAAAGTTTAGACGCTACCGAGAAACTCATACTTTTCGGTGTAGGCGCGCTCCCGATTATGGGCTGTATCTCTGTCATTATTTGATATTTTTATTTGAAACTTTAACAGTACATTCATAATAAACAATACTATCAAAATATAAAAAAAAAAAAAAATTGATTTTTTCAACCTCACACATGAGACTACATCCTTAAATTAAAGGTGTTAGAATTAAAGTTTTCAGTGATGGCAAGTTTGAATCCAAACGGACAGCTTAAACCCTAAGCGCGTGATCGATCAGCTGTTCAACTTTCTATCTCAAACTCGCAAGCTAAAGCTTTCCAGCCAAAAGCTCGTACTCGCGGATCGTCTTTTTACTCAGATGTGTGGGGAGTGAGAAACGCAACAAACGCCAAACATCAGTTAAAATTAAGTGCAACCGTCGAAATAAAATCGCCAACTCTTTTTAAATAATTATTACTTCGGTTTTCATCGAAGTTCACCTTTAAGTGAAAGGCTCGTGGAAAGCAGTGACATCCCAACGTGATTCTCTACGACTGTGTCTCTGTTGTCTGCGCTCTCTCTTGCGAGTCGCGAGCGAGAAATCTGTTCGATCGCTAGGATTTGAGGTTGCTGGCGATTTGCTCAGTTTTTAATTTCAATTTAAGTTTTTACTCGGCTTGCTAATGGTGCAAAGTGGGCTCTTCGCGCAAACAATTCACAAAAGAAAGAAATCCAACTAAAGTGTTCAAGTTTTTTGAGAGGATCGCCTTCACAACCAATAACAAGAAAGTGTGCCAATGTGTGTGTGTGCGCTAACATCTTAATATTTTTAAATTAATTCCATACGTGCGTATGTGTGGCTGGGACGCGCGTGGCGCCTCCGTCTCGACATCAACTCAATAGCAATTATCGCGGCGTTAAATCTTCCCATATGTCCATATACACACAAATAATTTAACCCAGTGTCCGAGTTTCTTGAAGAGAGTGAGTGCCAAGTGAATCATAAGATATAACTGTAAAGCTGGGACTACAAGTAGGAGAACACCAGGCCTTGGACAGAGCCGTGTCTCACCGGTTTCATCAGCTCGTACCAGGCCTAATGTAAGTGCCAAAATACAACAGAAATATATGTATCTGAAGTGGAACTTGAAATAATGGGTGTGAAAACGTTATGACTTAAACTTTCGAGTTAAACTCGAGTGAACTTATTCAGTGTTTGCATGTGACTCGGATATCTGTCAAATCGATAAGAAAACAATAAACATGAAAGCAAACAATGAGATTATATTTCGTTACAATCTATTTTATAGTCTTTGACCTCCTATACTTAGTGCAAATTTTGAATTTAAAGTAACTATTTTCTTTCTCAAAACAAGTCTCAAAATTTTGTAATTTATATTTCTTATCGAACAATAACTCCCTTGGCTCCATCATAGTCACTCGGGAATGCCTTTAAAGTACATATAACAATTATAAATTTCAATCAAAGTTTCAATAAATGGGATTTTTTTAGTTGAAGTAGGAACACTAACTTTATAAAATCTGTAGATTATTTTGTTGACGTATGTTGGTGATATATTTCAAGCAATAATTAATCAATGGTTACGCTTACCAGAACAATAATAAAAAGTTTTTGTGAACATGCTTAATCAGCGATGAGAACCGCAAAAAGGGGACTAAGAAAAGTATTCCATAAGACTTATAGCAACTACCGATAAAGTTTCTGCCTCGACTATCTGATACCCGGTACTTAAGTTACTACGGAATATATTCCCATTTCTAACACAATGGCCAGATTCAGATTTCCAGATTTTTTAGACATTGATCCTCTATAAATAGGAATTCAAAAAAGTCCTTTAATTAGAACGAAATGTTAATTTTAAGAATTTTTAGAAAATTTATTATATTATGAAAATGTCAACAGTTTTAAAGCTTTTCGGGAGTCAGGACTCATGGCGACGTAGGCCAATACATGCTGCCAACTCTTCTACAGGTCGTAAAAATTTTTTGAAACTAAAAATTGAAAACTTCTCTTATTTTCTAGGGGCTTAGAATGGAATAGACTACTTTTATTAAAATTAAATAAAAAATAATAAATTTGCGAATTTTTATTTCGTTTTTGCTGAAATATTTCTTACTTTTTTGTCGATAAAAAATCAAATATATAAGCTATTTATGAATTTAATAGATAGCTATTTAATTCCATGGACAATTAAATTCCGAATATTAAAAAATAAAAAACATTAAGATTTGTTAAAAAGAGATCTCTAAGATATGACAGTTGCCAGCTCAAAAAAGGTTGTTTTCAGAAAATGCGTTCAAAGTTAACCGGCACCCTTTGAGGCACTCTGAGATAACTATACAAATTAATTTATAGCTCGAAAAGTATAAGATTGTGTTCAAATTTGGAGAGGACAAGTACATACATATATATAAAGATAAGAATTATGTAACTAAATTTAATAAATAAATGTAATATAAACTTTTGATTTTTTCGACAAAACTTACCAAAACGGGACCCTTAAAGAATCTTTGAAAGTATGCTCAAAGTATGCTCATTTTTGAGTCTATTGATGAAGTTACCCCTTTGAGGGTGTGTCCATCAATTATTCTGACAAAGTCTAGTTTTCCACCTGACTAATCTAATCGGAAGCATAATTACATTTCCCTCATTCGCCCTGGGCCATTACTGCGTGCTAACTTGGAAAACAAGTGGGTGCTGATTGCAGCGATTAGGCTGATTTCCAAACTGCCGCATCAGTGTCGGAGAATGATAAGATAGGCGATCTATTGTGGAGCAAAGGCTTGCCGAAGCGCCGAAAGCGGTTCTGATTCATCAGACGTGTCCCAAGGGTTCTCGGCTAGCTGTGCGGTTCATCGAAAGGTTTGTGAACCCCGCAGAAAGCTTTCCAAAGCTGCTTTCCGCCACAAAACCCGTTTCCCCGGAGCTGGATGACCTTGTGACCGGCCAGAGCCGCTTTGCATAATATCATAATAGAATCTCGAAAATACTTTTCTGTCAAGCTACAGCTTTTCCAGTGAGTTTGGGGTTTCAAAACACCACGAAAGCTCCGCCAGCTGTTTTGAACTTCGCAGCTGTGGCCGCCAAGCTCGGCCCCCGCTCGCGCTCCAAGCTCACGGCAGTTGCGCTCTCCCACCTTACCCGTTTACCGTTTGGCGCAGATCGAGCTTTGGCCGTTGGTGCGGAGTTACCTTAACACTGCCATTATACCACGACCGGAGTGCCTTCGACGTAGTCGCAACGTATCTGACGGATTGCGGATCGCTTTTCGGCGCGGGCTCGAGGGTGTTGTGAGTGAGTACGGGGAGCTGGTACTTCGCCTCTGGTTCTAGTTCTTGTTCTGCCGCGAATCCGGGGCAGCGTGGCACTTCTCTCTTTCGCTCCGGAGTGTTGTTTTTTGCGTTTAATGCTACGTCGCGCTAATTTCAAGTCTCCAACTTCCGTTAGTCGGGGGGCGGCAGCTGAACGTAAACAAAGCCGCGACCCATCTCCGCGAGTCGCCGCAAACGTGTCATTGCCTCGGTGGGAAGATCGGAGAGAGTGCATCTGTGATGTGTAAACAGCATGGTCAAGGCAACCCATTCGGATGCCACATGGTGCAGTCCATTTTACGGGCCGCTTTGATGAGGCACGAGCCTATGGAACCCACGACAGCCGAAATATCCGAAATAGTTTGTGCGTGCGAGTGTTTGTGAGCTTGTGAGTGTGCCATTGTGCAAAACATTTATGAGATTGAAGCGCCAAAAGGCAAAAGGCCGAAACCCAAAATACCAAAAAACAAAAACCAAAAGCGAAATGCGAATGCGAATGAAATAGCAGGGCCTGTTGTATTTGCCAAACTCGGGCTGTGTGTTTACGCAAAGATAACGAAACACTGTGATAAAAATTTAATTAATTATTTTCGAGTCGTGGAAGTGTTGATGTGGTTCCTGGTCTAGACCGTCAAAAGAGAGCAGGAGTTCTATCAGGAATATCAAGAATATACAATTTTGTACAAGGAAGGGTCTCTCCAGCTCTCTTTTTAGACCATCAACCGATTATCCCCCTAATTGCAACCAAAATTCAAACAATTCTGGTTAATTAGCCAACACAGCCCCCAGAACTGCCAAGGGAGATTCTAAAATGAGTTGACCGAACAAGAGCAACAGCACCGAGGAATAAAACCAAAAACTGCATGCCAAAAATAAAATAAAGCCATTTTAATTGGAACATCAACATTGGCACATCCCGCAGAATGATGGCCAAGTCCAGCGACGTCC